CTTGGATCATAAGTAAATTGAGGGCAGACTCCATGTTCTCCTTTTCTTTTCCAACCGCATCCAACAGTGAGTTCCCTAGTTCTTTGAACACCATACAAATTATACACATTGAATGAAACCTCATTTAATTACATTGCAAGTGTGTTTTGCTACACTTAGAAACATTTTGGAAAGTTTTTATGGAAGATAGTTACATATAGTGGTTTGCATTCACTACAATAACGTGTGGTTCTGTTTTTTCTTCTTGGTGAACTCTGGTTGTTTTCTTAATTCACTCTATTCAGCCTTTTTTCCTTGCAAACCATGCTGATATCTGAGTGCTTTATTCTCTCAGAAGACTTCTTGGGAGAGATGGCAAAAAGTTATAGAACTAGAAGATGATGCTTTCAATTTTCCCATTGTATATAAGGTGATTAATGATTTGATAGTAAAGGTAGGTTATCTTTGTTTAATGGGCATTTATTGAGCACCCAAAAATGTCTCAAGGCACTAAAATTTATACAGGAAAAACACAAATGAACAAGATCTCTTCCATGAGAACATCATGATCTAGTGAGAAAGCTAGACCTTGAGTGAGAGATCTGAAATAGTCTTTTGGGTAAATAAATATATGAGATACTTTAGATAATTATATAGGATACAGAGAAAACAAACTAGGTAATGGATTTAAGGGGGGACAGGTGGTGGATGGATTTTTCTTAGATATACTGATGATGGAAGAACTCTGAGCTGTTGATACTTTAGCTAAAACCTGGATGAGCTCGTGATTAAAAAGCTTGTCTTCAGAATAATGCAATGGTGGTCAAGTTATATATCTTTTCATGAGTCATTCATTTCATTTTATCTTTATTTTGGTGCTTTTCAAGTGAAGGAAGAGGGGTAGCTAAATTCCTCAGGTGACTTTGCTTGCCTAGTTTCAGATTTATTGCTCTTTTGAATTATAAGTGCCATTGACAAGTTTTTCATCATTGATGTTTTGTGTATTCTTGTTAAGGAACCCTAGGCTATTTCATAAACACGTCCTCTTGGAATAATGACAAAAGTTGTTATTGGAAGGATATGTAGCTAAATAAATAAGTTTTTATTGAGGGAAATAAAAATTTCCCCCTGATTTTTCATAGAGTTATAACAAAAAATTAAACCTTCCCCTTTGAAATATATAAAGTGTGATTATACAGTTTGTAACATATTTTAACAAACATACCATTATTATATGCTGAGTAAAACTAGTCAAATGAATTTGATTAAGATCTGAATAATATAAGAGGTCTAATAATGTTGTGTAATGCCAGTATGTGTCCAGAAGGATATGACGAGACCATGATCATGGTATAAATCTAAGTGACTTTTGACACTTTCTAATTTATTTTTGATTTTTAGAAACAGAAGTTACTTTAAAGTCTAGTTCATAAATTGTATAATGAGAAATGCATTATGTAATAGTAGGATTCCTTTATTTTTTGAAACATGAGACGCATTTTCTTATGTAGTTAACACTTCATTGACTGGTTAGAAGACAGATTTGTCCAAAGGAACACTGAAATTTAGTGGCAGAACTAGAATGCAAATTTCCAGTGCCCATCTTCTGTTTAGTTTATAGTGAAAAAGATAATGAAGTTAGTTAGCATTTAATATCTGGCAAGGACATTGTTGATTAAATTTACTTCTCAAAAATTTTTATTATTTCAATCTGTGCATGTCAACACCATTAGGTGTTTTGTTTTGTTTTTTTCTCCTGGAATAATGTATTGTGGTGAGAATATAAATTTTTTTAGGTAAATTCAGGACCAATCTTATTTTTTTTCCAACTTCAGAATATAAATTCTAAGGCAGAAAAATATTTAGAGCAGAAAAATCAGTGACAGCTATTTGACATTAAAGTGATGACCCAGTCTCTCACTTTAATCAAATTTATTATACATTTCCCATTCAGCTGTTCAACTTGGTTCTACATATAGTTAAGCTCATTTCTTTGTAACCAAATAAAATGAAAATCAACCTGTTTTTAAAGAGATGTTGACCCAATGAAAATAATGCAAATAACTAGTTTGAAAAAAATATTTTATGATCAGATGTCTATCATTTGTGGGTAAAATATAAAAATGCATAAGTATAATAAGGAAAACAAAATATAGATATCCTTTTATCATTGTAGCATTGTGACTATTTAATTGGCCTTCATTAAACTGTTAACAGCAGCATGTCAGCAACCTTTGGAAAGCTTAAACAAATTGTATTAATTATAAAGCTATTATCAAGATTGACTTAATTGTTCTGTCTCACTAGCAGAAAATGGGTTAGTTTTTTCAAGCCCTTAGACCACACATTGTGAAGTATTTAATACATGTGTTCCTGTGCTCTCCCATTCCTCAAAGCTTCATATAGTGTACTCGTTAGTAGTGAAATTGTATATTAAGTCTATTTGTGAAGATTGCATTGCAGAAGTGCTATTCCTTCCAGATCTCACTTCAGTGTAAATATTTTGCAATTTTCAGGTATGATTTGTGCTTCATTCAGTGAAGACCTCTCTTCTTCCCACACTGGACTTTGATATCAAATGAAAGTAAAGTTAAGATTACACCTTAAGCATTTATTATGAGCCTTATAAAATGTTGTAGTATCTCCAACTTACAAGTTAAGTAACTTGTCCAGCATCACACAGCTAGTAAGTTTCAGAGCCTAGGTACAAACTCAGCATTCTGACTTTACCACTATAGAATGTTGTCTCCAAAGCGTTGTGTTGACATTTCCTTACAATTATACTTAACAAATCATAGCAAGTGTTTTTATAAGAAAAATAAGTGAATGTTAGATTTGTGTCTTTACCCACTCAGGTTTTAGGGGCATATTTTAAGTCTGTTGTTTCTATGATAAACTTGGAAATTCGGTGAGCTTTAATAGAAAGCTTCTCTAAAGACTCTTTTTAGGGGGGAAGGTGCACTTGTTGAAAATGTACTCAAAATTTATAGATGAGGAAATATTGCACCTTATACAATTTCAGTTGCAAAAATAAGATAAATTAATAAAGGCTGCCTTTGATTCATTTGCTATCAATTCAAAGACATGGTATTTTAGCTGAAGAAGTATGTAAAAAGTTTCCTTTTTAGAACATTCTTGGAGTTTATCATAATTGTCTCTTTTTCTTGTTTTTTTTTTCTTTTTTCTCCTTTTGCATTTTGTTAATTTAAAATTTTAAAGTAATATAGGCCAGAACAAAAGTACTGTATTATCCTTAAAAAAAAAGTTCCCTGAAGTGAGGTTTAAATTAATCAATGTAAGATTATTGACTAATGTTAAAATGGCTGCTCCTTAAAGAAGTGGCATAATTCTTGTTGCATGTGGGATTTTTCAGAGCATTTCTAATAAATTCAGAGGATCATCTAATCCCAGAAAGAGTACTTCTTTGCACTCAAGAGGTTGATGTTCTCTATTTGGCTTTAGAAAATACCTAAACTTTTTGTTTGTTTGTTTTTTCTATCTGGCACCACCTTTTTGGCATATCCTGTTGGCATTACCCCTGTAGAGAAATTCCTGGAAAGCAGATCTCTTTGTTGTGATCCTGAGATGCTTTTGTCTGGCCTCTAGGTCATGTTTTAAACTCACAAGAAATGCAGAGCCAAGCACACTATGTGAAAATGCCCAGTCATTAAACTCAGGAGAGACTCTTTTTGTTTTTTTTAAACGATGCTAAGTACTCAAGTTGCCAGTGGGACTATTTTACATACAAGTCCTGTGAAGTTGATTTGGGGCCAGAACTTGGAATAGTTGGGAATAATATCAAGAAAAACAACTTTTATCAAAAGGCAAATTAGTTTTTGAAGCTGGTGTTAATGGCAGCCAAGGTGTTTCATTATGAAGCTGAATTTTTAACAGTTGTTACTTGGTTACTATGAAAACACCAGCCAGAAGAAAATACTGCAGTGTAGTGGATATTTCTCCACTCTCTCCGATTCCTTCTACCAACGTGTCAGTAATGGGAGTCCTGTTTTAAAACACCCAGGTGCTGCCTAGAAAGTGCTTGTGTTAGCTGTTTATTCAACTTTGTTTCTGGATAAGATGGATATTTCATAATCAAAGGGTTCAGGGATGATCACTTGCAAAATACAGATGTTATATTTTTCTATTTTGCAATTCTCTATGTCTGAATGAAACCTTAAGAAGACCTTATTGGGAGAACTGCTTTTTCTTTGTAACCTAGAGCATAAAGCTAACCACAGGAAATATATAAATTGTAACTACAGAGATGATTTTTTCGGATGAAGCAATGGGAAATGTGGTGCTTTATCTCTACGTGTGAGTGTACCTACTGCTGATATTTTTTTAAGGAAAAACATCTGAGGGCCATAAGTAGCAAATTCCAACTGTTTATTCCCCTCTCCGACAGTAAACAGCATGAAGGTTTCTCTCCACACATAACACATCCAAAGCTCCTGGGAGTATGTATGCTTTGATATTTTCCCCATTCTGACATTTTACTAGCTGGATAAGAAAAAAATGGGTTTGCTCAGTGAGTCCTCAACATATAGGCAACAAATTCTCATATTGTCCTGTCTATAGTCATCCTTTTAATCTCTGTTGTGTTCAGCATATAGTTTTATGGTGATATATAAGAAATATATGTGGGTTTTTTTTTGTGGGTGATGTGATAAAAGTGTTGGTTTAAATTACTTGCCAGTAGTCCCCTAGCCAAATAATTTAAAGCTGTGATTACAGTCTTATTGAAGCCGTTGGTACTGATTCTAAGAAGCAAGCATAGCTCTATTTGTTGTCCTTCAAAACAAAAGCAGGTTTTCCTCTTGCGTTGCAAAGTCTCGGCTAGGGTTTTACAGAACAAAATAATGAATGCTCTGCTGCTGCATGTCACAGGGGAGGCTGGGACAATACTGAACTCATGCACACCGCTGATCCTTGTTTGCTGGGCAGCATGTACACCTGGATTTCTGACAGCTCTGTGGGTTCACTGGAGACTTCTGTTATTCTGTTCATCCCCTCGTAGGCAATGGTCGAGACAGTGAACAACCTCCTTCAGCCGCAAGCCTTGAATGCGTGGAGAGACCTGACTACAAGTGATCAGCTCCGTGCAGCCACCATGTTGCTTGACACTGTGGAGGAGAGTGCTTTCGTGCTGGCTGATAACCTTTTGAAGACTGACATTGTCAGGGAGAACACAGACAATATCCGTAAGTGGCCTTTGTTATACAGAAAGGCCAGAGACCTTGTACAGCAGAAGGGGGAAAAGAAAAAAGCATCTGTGGTGGCCTGTGTATTATGAGTGATACTTTATTTTTCTGAAATTATTCTTTTTCTATAATTAGGAGGATATCACTTGTCATTGGCTTAAAAAGGTCCTCATAATCATGTATGTTACCCTCCTTAGGACATTCCAATATCGGATCTATTACCCTGAGATCATTTACAGTGAGGCCCATACACACACACACACACACACACACACACACACACACACACACACACTCACACACACACACACAGAGATTGCCAAAAAAATGTATACACATTTTAAGAAAGGAAAAAACTATTAAAATTATGCTGATGGTAGCCACTTTGAGTACCTCTTGTAATTGCAAAAGTCAAAAGTGACTTATAGTTATCTATTGTTATCAGTATATATTGAGTATTACAATTTTAATACAGTTTTTTTTCCTTATGTGTGTACATTTGTGTACATTTTTTTGGCAACCTCTGTGTGTGTGTGTGTGTGTGTAATTATGTGTATATATTATACTATTTAAAATTTTTGTACTCCTAATACAGGGTTTATGGGTCACTTCAGTTGTAAGAATGTCTCTGAATTATGTACTATAAAGAAATGAGTCATTTAAGTAAAGGGGATAAAACAATTTTTTGATACTCATGTATTGGCTCATAAAGACTGTAAATCTATTTTTATTGTGGGTAAGGATGTAGCTGACGGTTTTATTTCAGAAGATTTGATAAAGCAATTTCAAATTTATTACATTTAAAGATAGATCAATACCGATATAATAGTGCAGCTCTAAATTACAAAAGGATTTTTTACTTAATTCATAAAAAAAAGATAATATTTTGAAAATAAACTTAAAATCAGTGACACAATATAAGGATTTGAGCTTGAGTTTCAAATTTTCACCTTTATAATTGATATATTTGTATTCTTATTTACCTGATTTTAATAGCTTTTTTTTTTGCTTTATTAACAAAAGTAAGATACTAACATAATAGTTTCTAAATAAAAGGGTGAACTACAATGAAGCATGACAAATAGAGCATTAATTCCAGTGTTTTGATTTCAGAACTATGTCAGTGATGTAGGAAATTATCTTAGCTTTGGAATGTTTCTCAGTAAGCACTGGTATCTCTTTGCCGTTAACAGAATTGGAAGTTGCAAGGCTGAGCACAGAAGGAAACTTAGAAGACTTAAAATTTCCAGAAATCATGAGTCATGGAAGCACCATCCAGCTTTCTGCAAATACTTTAAAACAAAATGGCCGAAATGGTAGGTTAGAGTATAGATATTTATCAAGGTTGGTAGAATTAAACTTGTCATCAATGTGTTGCTTCTTGGCTTGGGATTTGAAATGGGCTATCCAAAATCTGCTAGGCAAATTATCTGCTGTCTCTTTCCTCTCACTCCACTATAGTCATTCTCCTGCCCTTCCCTCCCTTTCTTTTCTCCTGCACCAACAATATTGCAATCATATGTGTTCTACAAAATTCTCAGATTGTGGAAATTGTTCCGTTACTTTTCTGTTGCAGTGAAATATCAGAAACTTGAATATGAGGGAAGTCAATGAACAACCAAATCCAGATTATCTGACTTTCTGACTTTCTTCATTGAAAGGAGTAACTTTCAATGAGTTGACTGACTTATTTTATAAAATCTTTAATGAAAATTTTACTTGTAATTTTAAAATTATATGTTTTTGTTTTTCTTATTCACTTATTTTTGGGTGTGTTTCTTTGTTTTTCCTTTGCAAAGCATACGGAAAATTTAATGTGAGGAAATGTTCTAGGGTCATGGAACTGGTAAATATAGATCAGTTTAGTACTGGGTTAAGTTTACTGAATATAATTAAAATTAAATAATAATCTCAGAGAAAATATATCTCAACCCTCACTAATATTAATTTTTTAATAACTTTTTTTTTTTTTTTTGCCAAGGAAGTGAGATCCTTTAACCAGTTAGTGATAGGAAGATGACCCCAAGGCATAGCAACCAACTCAAAGCTGATGTTTCATATTGTAGGGTGAATAGTTTTGGGGAAACAGAAGAAGAAGAACCTGTTAAATAATATCTAGACAACCAAATTATGTTTGTTTTCAGCAGAAGAAAATTCTTTGTAAGTGTTGGAAATCTTATAAGACTGGAGTTATCTAAATCATTTTATGTTGCTAATTTGACAATGTGAATTTTGAAACAGCAATAAGATTTTCTATAGAGCAAAATCAGATTCCTGTATTGGCTTCCTAACTGGTTACCCTCCTTCCACATTTGTCCCCAAAGAGCATATCCTGTTGACAAAGGTACATTCTGAAACATAAGTCTTGCCAGTTTCCTTCCAGCTACACTTAGAATGAAATCAGATGACTTCACTAGGCCTAGCATGTGCTACCTGGTCTTTCCTGCCTCATGTGTCCCACTGGACATCTGCCTTTAGCATACTGTTTGTAATCCAGTCTAGTCTTGATTTTCTTTGGTATTTAGATATAATTCCCATATAACATTATATGTTTTAGGTATACAACATAATGATTTGATATTTGTATATATTGCAAAATGAACAGCACAATAAGTCTCGGTAACATTCACCACTCTACAGTTATAATTTTTTTTCTTGTGATGAGAACTTTTAATATTGATTCTGTTAGCAACTTTCAAGGTATGCAATACAGTATTATTAACTATAGTCACCATGCTATATGTTACATCCCCACAACTCATTTATTTTATAACCTAAAGTTGTAGCTGTTGACCCTCTTCACCCATTTTGCCTACGCCTCTCCCTCTGCCTCTGGCAACCCCCAGTCTGTTCTCTGTATCTGTGAGGTTTTGTGTGTGTGTGTTTATAAAATTCTACATGTAAGTGAGATCATAGGGTATTTTTTTTCTGTCTGACTTCTTTCACTTAGCATAATACCCTCTAGGTTCATCCCTGTTGATACAAATGGCAAGATATCCTTTTTTACAGTTGAATCATATTTGTGTGTGTGTGTGTGTGTGTGTGTGTGAGTGAGTGTGTGCATGTTTTAGGTCAGATTTAAGCATTAATTTTGGAGTGGGGCATTTGTAGCAATTCTGTGTGACTAAATGCACTGGTAAAACAAGGTGGTATGGCAGCATGATACAATCCCACAAGTGGAAATTGGTATGAATTATCTGCCAGTCATAAACCAATTAAAAGTTGTTACTGTCAACAAGAAAAATACATAGATGTTCTGAAGTTTAGCCTCTAAAAATCAGCATTTGCATATATAATAATCTAGAGGGAAAGCGCTAAAATTAAACACTGCAATGTGACAGTCAAGAAGTATTTAGTGAATTACTATTTTCTCTTCAGTACTATGTTCAGATGTGAATCGGAAGTTTAAGGATGCCCAGTTCCTTCATGTAGCGCCTCCTAATCTCTTTGCCGGATTACTGCAAGGATAATAGGTATCTCATAGAATCATTGAGAAGGCTGGAGAATCAGACCCCAAAAAACATGCAAGAGCAAGGAGGCTGACAGCTGCCCGTATCATCACACAGAATCATGGCTGTGAGACGTCACTGCTGCCGCAAGTGAAGCACAAGTGAGGGCTGCTGCTGCTGCATCACTCCTTGTGTCACTAGCTCCTCACAGTGTCACTAACTTCTCACGTAAAGTCTGAGGCTCGTGCATCTGATTAGATGCATCTGGCTGAGGTGCCTAGACCAACCTCTTTGCAGGGCAGGCTGGGAAAGCAAGTATATGCACATTTTGTAACTTTAAATCCCTAAGAGTAGAGTATTTTGCAAACATGGGAGCACAGTTTAGATGTTGGACAGCCCCCTCCACCTCAAACAATTCATGAACATTTCTTTGTTTTTATTGCCACTTGACTCTTATGATTCAGAGACAAAGACTGACTTCATCCTCTTAGTAACCGTGGTAGTCATGGCAGTGTTTATCTCTCACTGGAACGATATGAATTCATAATGGAAGTAAGACATAGGGCTTGATTTTTTTTTAGAAAGGAAATGATTTTTAAAAAATCATGTTAAAAGATGGTTAATTTTACAGAGGATTACATGTAAGAGATTATCATAATGGAAAAAATAAGGTGGAAGGACATATGGAGATAGTGACCTTAAAAGAGCATACACTGAGTTTTAAGACAGGTAAAATTTTTGAAACCTTACATTTGTTTATTTTTTTATTGTAATTGAGATACATAATTTACATATAATAAAGTTCACATATCTTAAGTGTTTAATATGATGAATCAACAGTTATACGTTCCTCTGTAATATCACATAAAATAATATATAAATCTCCTCTATTACCCAGAAAATTCCTTGGTGTGCCTTTCTATTCTGCTCATCCCCTCTCCCGACCTGATAAAACTATTTTCTTTTCATTACTATTTCTATAAACAAATTTTGCCTGTGCTTAGACTTCATATAACTGGAATCATACAGTGTGAATCTTTTCTATCTATATTCTCTAATTCCATATAATAGTTTTGGGATTCAGTCATGATGCTTCATCAGTCAGTAGTTGTTCTTTATCGAAGCATAGTATATTCCATTACATGATATAATTTATTCTCCTGTTGATAGGTTTTTGAGTTGTTTCTAGTTTGGCACTGTTATGAATAATGATGTTATAAACACTCTTATAGAAGTCTTTTTCTTTGTGAGTTTATATTTTCACTTATCTGGGAAGGGTAGATATATGTTTAACTTTATACAAAAATTGCCAAGCATTTTTCCAAGTAGTTGAACCATTTTATATTTCCACCAGCAGTATACAAGAATTTCAATTTTTATACATCCCTATAAACATTATTGTGGAGTCATTTTTTTAAATTTTATTTTAGAGATATTATTGGGTATGAAATGGTTTTCCAGTACGGCTTTAATTTTTATTTTCATAATTGATTTGATAATTTTTCATATGTCTCTTTGCTTATCTTATATCTCTTTTTACTAAAGTGTGTGTATTTTGCATTTTAGTGTGGCATTTATTCTTTTACTTTTGATAATCAGAAATGCTTTAAATATTCATTATATATATATATATATATATATATATATATATATATCTTAGTCCATTTACCTGATTTTTTTTTCTTTTATGGTTAGTGTTTTTGAGATTCTAATCGCAAAGACAAGAAAGATATCCTATATTTTGTTCTAGGAGCTTTATGGTTCCGGTTTTTATGTTTATGTCCATGATCTATCTTTAATTAAGTTTGGAGTGCGAAATGAGATAGGGATTAAGGGTCACTTCTTAAAATACTGATTTGTAGTTGTTTCAGAATCTTTTGATTTTCTTTTCCTCATGAATGACTTGGCACTTTTCTTAAAATCAATGCTTGATTTTTGTTGTGTCTCTATATTATACAGATCTGATTACAATCTAATTAGAATTATCTAATTTAATGGATATGTAAAAAGTAATGGAATGTAAAAAGTAATCAGAGTTTCTTCCCACTTTATAATTCACATTTGCATTTGCTTTAGGAGAGATCAGAGTGGCCTTTGTCCTGTATAACAACTTGGGTCCTTATTTGTCCACGGAGAATGCCAGCATGAAGTTGGGAACAGAGGCTATGTCCACCAATCATTCCGTTATTGTCAATTCCCCTGTTATTACAGCAGCAATAAACAAAGAGTTTAGTAATAAGGTGTACTTGGCTGATCCTGTGGTGTTCACGGTTAAACACATTAAGGTAAGAAAATGGTGTGTTAAGTAGTTGTTCATATTATATATATTTGTTATAGCATGAACATAAAATACATATATTAATTTTCTTTTAATTTTTTTTATTATTTGCTATATAGCAATTAATTATCTATTAAATGGTAGTGGTATTTTTTTTTCTGAAGTGAGGAGAATATTTCTTCAATATATAAATACTTATAGTAAAAACACTCATAGATTGATTTATAAATGCTTCTTCATAATTAAAAAGAGCTAGCAATATGTTCAATAGAACTGGACATGGCTGCACATATGATTTTACAAATAATTGTATCTCTATATTTAGATAATGTTTTTGTACATGTACAAACATTGTATTGTAAATTGAACAAAGGTTTCTAAAGACCATCTTTTCAGAAGCTGATTGTTTAGAGCAACTGACCCTTTTTTTTTGGTACATAAATTGGTTTTGATTTAGTCTTCTCTGAGCTTGACTGACATAAAACAGCCTGAGTCTAGTGAACTGGGGGAGGGCCAGCCCTTGTAAGGCCTCTTCCTAGAGAGCATGTGAATTCCATCAGAGGCTTTTCAATGTACAGCAATCTTCAGTGGTTAAAGCAAAAATATACAATATAAATCTGTAAAGAAACGAGATAAATGCAGGAAAAGGATGGCAAAAGATCCATTCCTGCCAGAATGGCACCTACCTAAAATAAATTGCCGACTTATAAATGGAATAGGTAAACATATGGTAAAAAACATAGAGATGAGCAATCAGGTTTAGAAACAGGAAATGGAATCAGTGTCCTCAAGGGCACTGCAGCACACTTGCAAGAATCCTAGAATAAGAAAATAAGTACTTTTGTTATAGACCACTCGCTGTGGTTCTAGACGTGTGCCGCCGATACACTAACCACTAATTATTTGTGCTATGTAAACTGAAATCAACTGAAGTTAAATAAAATGAAAAATTCAGTTCTGTAGTCACACTAGCCATATTTCAAGGGCTTAATAGCCACACGTGGTTAGTGGCTACGATACTGGACAGCACAAGTCCATTCCATCATCACAAAAAATTCTAATAGACAGCGCTGTTCTAAAGAAAATCCAGAATGTAGGTGACACTTGGAAGAAACATTCCACACATACATCTGGCTCTCCCTTTTGATACCCCTCACCAAGCCACCCATGATGAAGCAGTAAGAATGAAGACACATGGATGAAATACAGTGCTGGATTTTTTTGTCTTTGTTTCTTTCTAAGAGCATATAGCCCTTACAGCTGGGACTGTCTCTTCTTTTGAATTAACTGCTAGGATCACTTACATTATAAATAACCAGAAGCACTTATTGAATATAACTGGCCTAGAGCACAGCACTTACTCAGTAATTATCTCAGCCAACACAGGCCTTAGTTGATGTAGGAGGCACAGAAATAGAACAACTCCCTGGCTTCCATGTCTTTCCATATGGGTCCAGAATTGGCTTTTAGAAGCTGAATTGCTGCACTGCCTCTGAATATCACTAACTTACACAGTTACCAAGTCTTCTGTTACAAAAGCTTTGCCTCCAAAACATTTCCAAGATGCATTTTTTAGTTCCCTGCCATTAATACTCAGACCGGGACTTAACATCAGAATTAAGCAGATTTTCTTTTGCTTCCCCAAATTGTTTCTGCATGTGTTTCCAGACTGAATTCTTCGCTTTCTCACATTTTTCCATTGACTGAAAATAAGATTTATAAGTTGCGAATTGCTTTTTCAGGCCTTAAAGGCCTGTCTGTAATCATCCCCGTCATGTCTGAAACCATCGATGAGGCCTTTTCCCAGTCACTGTCCCACAAAAGAGATGGCTCTCACCACCAGATAGATTTATTTTCCTCACTCAGAATTTTCCCACCATCTCTATCAAATTTCCAGAGACTACTCTAAATGTACGGTAGAGCCTGTGTATAAAGTAATTTAGTACATACATTATACACTATTATATACCATGAAGCTATAACCAGAAGCACATTCTTCTCTCCAGCGTTAGCGTACATGGCAGTGCTCACACTGGCCAAAGAAACTCTAAGGCTTAATTATTTAAGCGTTGTAGTTAAGGCTGTCCTACAGGACCAAATACACATAACCCAGTAGTATGACGACCAGCACTGCTGCATCGATATCTAGGACTATTGTACTTTCAGCCATTAAAATCTTGGCATTGGTCATTAAAGCAAGAACATTAGAGAAGTTGTGATCTGTGATTTTGTTTTTAATTATCTTAAACCTTTGATCACACAATTTACAATATTGTGCTGATAGACTATCACTTTAATCCTTCAGATGAGTAGACAAAAGCACCATTGCCAATCATACGTATACCCTAATTCTACAATTGTGTTTTATAATAGCTTTTGAAAAGACAGTCCTGAATTATAACTTAGTTGGGCTTACGAAAGAATTCACAAGCAAACTTTTCTACTGTATCTTGTCTCACTAAAATGTAAAAGCTTCTGACCTTATTAATCACCTATAAAGTGTGAGAAGCGTTAAATACTTTATTTGATATTATACATAAACCATACTATAATGCCTTTCATTAAGTACAAGGCAGGAATTCAGACACAGGGAATTTTAATTACATTGGCATAATTAGGACCAAGAAGATAAAGTGGGCACTGCCAGTTTATTTTCAGCCCTTTTGCTTAACAAGCGAACGAACACAACTTGAAACCCAAGCGAGTCTTGTTCCTCTGAGACAGTGAAGAGACTTCCTCAGTGTTTAAACATATCAATATAACCAATTATGTAAGTCTACATAGAAAATCAGTCTCCGACTAGCTTTGAGATGGCATTCACCATTTCTGTGAAAAGCTGAATACCACTAACCCGGTCCAATCATATCGTTAGAAGGGGAAAACAGTGATAGCACTTGCTAAACCAAAATTACCATCAAAGTTCAAAAAGCTCATCATATTCATTGAACCACAAGCTGATATTATTTAAATCAGGACTTCCCAAAAGAAATGTCCTGCCAGCCATTCATGATCTGAATTCTGGTGTGTGAGATCCATTTAAATATGGTACAGATAAAAAAAAAAAGCCATGAGACATTTCTGCTTTATAATAAATAAAGCAGTGGCCTGCTGTTACTCATTAGTAGCTTTTTGAGATAAGCTGTTGAGTCTGCCTTTTATGAAGTCTTTTTAATGCCAACAAAGATCATTTTTGTTCCAGGGATGTACTTCTTGGGATTCTCCAAATACTCCATTAGAGTCTCCTCTCCCTAGGCAATGCCTTTGTTCTTGTTGGCATCCGTGTGAGAAAATCCAGCGGCCTGACCTGTCCTTCACCCAAATAGACTGTGGAGATTTGGCCCCATATCGCGCTTGTCTCCCTCTTCCACACTATGGCACTGGGCACACTTCTGAACAAAAACCTTCTTGTCCTTCACAGTGTTATCCATTTTTAAATTTCAACTCCGTTTCACACGATACAAAGATTCCTGCTTACAAGCTGTACATCCCACTCTGTTGCAGTTGACTTCTTTACTCAATGTACTTTACTTTACTTTGTAATTAATAGATATGAGTTTGAGACATTGGTATTAATATTTTTTCAATATTAATTTTTGAAAAAGTAAAACACACATCTAATCAGGGGAATAAACAACAACTTGTATTCAAATTCAAATGGGAAAACACTGGTAGACATTGCCACAAAAATTGGAACAGAGTATGAAGCTGTGTTGATGTAAAGAAAATGCCTACCTAATTTATGTGATCATAAAGTAGTTATTGGCTTTATCGATTTTTTTTCCCCTGTAGCAATCCGAGGAAAATTTCAACCCCAACTGTTCATTTTGGAGCTATTCTAAGCGCACAATGACAGGTTATTGGTCAACTCAAGGCTGTCGGCTCCTGACAACAAATAAGACGCATACTACATGCTCTTGTAACCACCTAACCAATTTTGCAGTACTCATGGCACATGTGGAAGTTAAGGTAAGATATATACCATAAAATAAAAATGCATACCATTGGGATACTTGCTGTAAAAGGCCTTTACGTATGGCCATTCTCACTTCAGAGTTCTTCCATTTTCATAGTGATTTTATTCAGGAATTCTGTTGTGTTCAACCCATACCCTCCTAGATGGTTCCAAGTACTCTTTTTTCTTTTTTTTTTCTATTATCAATGTAGTTCATTAAAACTGAAGTTTACTTATAAAATAAGACTTTGTTCATAAAAATTCCCATAGTCTCCCCTGTTTTTGTATTGTATGGATAAATGTCAAACCTCATGAACAGGGCAAAATAGGACTGCAGAACCAAAAGGCAGTGTGGTGAGGTTAGGAACTGGGATCTGGTATGTTGAAGACTAAGGAACTACGTGTGAGATTGAATCCTGTCAAAATGACTTAGGAAAGCTGCTGTTAAGCACAATGTACAACGCATGGTAATGCAGAGGGCTTATCAATTCTAATATAATGTAATGGGTTTTCTTCATTCAATAAGACACTACCCTAAGGAATAATCCAGGTAAGTAATTTCCAAAGTCAGGAACTTCGCTAACTTGGCTGCATCAGCCTTTTCCCAGAATGACTCTGGCTGTCATGATGGATGTGAAGAGGACTTAGATTTCAGATACATTTAGGACATAAAAGTACAAAGGACTGATTAACTTGGTAAAAATTGATAGATGGGATACTAACAAGAAATTAAGATACTTGTGAATTATCTTCTCATCTCCTTGATGTTAATAAATATAGAGGAATTATCATTGTCCAACATATTTTAAAAAGGGAAAACTATAGCAAATGTATATCTACCTGTTGTCATTGATCCAAATAGTTCCATCCAAAATTTTCTTGACACTGCTGAATTTAGAGATGGTACAAGTATCCCAGAGGGAGACCAAATGCAATCCCAGTTATACCTTAAGAGTAAATTGCCTTAGCTATGTCAGCACAGTTCAAATTTTGGTCTTTAAAGGACTACAAACACATTTTGTCAGAGTATCACAAATTGATCTAGCTTAGCAAGATTGGCTACACTAACAAATGTTAGATTTAAACTTGCACTGTGTTAGTATGGCTCTGGGATTCTATTTTTCAGCTTAGGGAATAAATTCAAACTCAGAAAAATGGATCATGTTTCAAGCAACAACAAAATATCATTTTGCTCAGTTCATTACATAGCAGCCTCTACTCAATCTATTATACAAGAATCCTGACTGTGACCATTATTGTGTGTCAACAAGAGATAAAATAAATGAAAATCAATATTTTCCTTTTGCTTTCAGTCACACAGTATGTATGTCCTGGATTTCTTGTATCACATTCTCTTGTGATTGCTTAAGTCAGTCCCATTTTGATCTTACCACATGGTGTTGACACGCGAAAAAAAAAAACAAAAAAAAAACAAGCAGACTAATCACACCTAGAAGTTCAAAAAGTAACACACTAACCAAACCTCTGATAGACTAATGTCCATAACAGAACACTAATGTATTCGTGCACAGTGAGAAATACAACAGTCAGTTAGAACATATATTCATGTTTGCTAGTTGTCACTTTCTAACTCTACTGGAAAATCTATCAAGGAAACCAAATTATATTGGAGAAATTTGCTTGCGGATCTTAGAAAGAGAGCAAGAAGCATTAGCCGAGTAATGTTGATAGCTGTTGCTATTAAGCGGAGGTGCCCTGATGAAGGGGGTCTTCACTCCAGGGCCCTGCCTGTGCACCGAAGTGTCCTTATCTAGCATCTGTGTCATCTGTCTTGTTCATTCAGCACTCGCTTCATTAGTTTTTATTTATTAACATTTTTTGAGTACCTGAATAGAGGTATTGACATGTTTCCTGCTACACGGTAGGTTCTCAATAAATGTAACTTCCTCCTTCCCACATGTCAGAGGTAGCACTAGATTCCAGCATTAAAGTGAAGCTTCTGGCCCTCAGGGAACTAACGTTTTTGAGGGGGAGGCAAGGCAGAGAAGTGAAGCCATAGTCATACTTGTGATAAGTTTTATCATTGAGGTCTACACTGTGATTGAGGGACTCAGAAGAGCGTCATGTATCTAAGGCAGGACTGCTCAGAGAGGGCTTATCAGAAAAGCACCCTGCTCTGAAGGATGAGCAGAATGTACTTAGTGGGGTAACGTGGGGAATTTGTGTTGACCACATTCTTGCAACATTTTCTTCACTTTGCCTTGGGTACACCATTGTCTCTTGTTTCTTTCTTTCCTCAGCAACTGGTCCTTCTCTTAGCTTCCTTTGCTGCTTCCTCGTCATCTCTGTGACCTCTCATTGTTGCTGTGGCCCAGAGTGTAATCCTACAGGTAGTCTAGGCACCCTAAGTTCTTTCGCCCCAGGTGACCTCATATAGTCATATGGCTCTAAACACCAGCTCATGATTCCCAGATTTCTATCTCTGTTTCTTAACTACTGACTCATGGATTCAGCTGCTGCCTTGATAATCTCCACCTAGACTTCTATTAAGTGCCACAAATCCAGAACTACACTGCACTTCTGATTCATTCTCAAAAAGCAGTTCTGTAATCCTTTCAAAAAGCAAACCAGGTAGCTTTTACCTTTGATCTAATCTGAAGGGCCCATGCCAGGAAGAGCAAAATCCCGAATCCTGGCTGCATGGATGGCTCTTGCCCGCCTTTCCTACCACCCTTCTTCTGCTCACTCGGCCTCAGCCACAGCAGCCCCACTGCCTTTCCATCAGGTGTGTCCTAGTTAGACCTGAAAGTCTCCCTCCTCGTATGCCCCAAAGAGCCACCAGGCTAGCTTCCTCCTCTCCTTCAAGTCTTTGTTCCAGTGTCACCTTCTCAAAGAGGCTTTCTCTGTCCACTCTACTTAAAATGTCAGATTACCGTACGTACTCCCACAAAATACTGAGGGGATAAGGCAAACGAAATCCCTGGCCTCAGCGAATTTATAGTCTAACAAGAGGGAGAAAACAGTTGTCGACATAAGAAATGTCCAAACCCATAGAGAATTTTTGTAAGAGTTTATTTGAGGCAAACTGACGTCATATGCTGGGGAGCAAGATCTCTGGGAAGTAATAGTTTTGCAGCTTCTTTTATGCGTTTGACATTAAGGAGGAAACAGAAGGAAGATTACATGACCGTGGGAGAAAGAAAAGGGGGGGATTGAATTACAAGATAGTTAACAACATTATGTGCTCTCTTGAGGGTGTCAGGACTTATTTCAGAGGTACTTTAACCTAGATGCACAGAAACAATAGACAAGGCTTGCTTAAGGCAAAGATAAACCTTTTCCTGAAGAAGTTACATGCCTGGGGTATGACTACCCACCTGCTGACCTGTCCAGTTAGGAATTTATGATCACATCACCCTGTGAGGTTACATTCCATAGAACCCCCTTTTTCATCCATAGTGTTAAGACGGATTTTTGAATGAGGTGCTGAAAGATTTTATAGCTAGGTCAATTTAGGCAGATAGAAGGAGGAGGGGGTTACCTCCACCCCAACATGGCAACACAGCTGGCTAACTACTTCTGAGTTCTCCCTACTTCTATTGTCTAAAGAAATATTTGATTGCTTTCTCTTTTAGACAGAAAAGTAATCATTGCAGATATTGAGGTAATGTAATTTTATACTAAACTGTGATAGTATTTATGGTATTTTAAAACCTTTCCATTACTGGAAATCATTGACAGGTTTATTTGTCTGTGTTAAGCAGAAGGTTGAATACACTAAATTGAAATCTCTGTATCTTCTCTTACCATTAATTCTTTTTGTGAACACAATTTGTAAGAGGGGTATTTTAGTTTATGGGAGAATACGTTTCAAACTAATAGACTAATGAACGTTTCTACTATGGTTTTGTAGAACACTGTAATAAATGCTTTGGAAGAGTCTGACAGTTTATATCACCTATAGCTCTTTATTCAAATTATAATTCTTTGGGACATAAAAAATAAAGTCTCCCTATTTTCCTGTCAGTTCAACTTGACATTGATTTTATTATCTTTAAAATGCTTCACTTTCCTTAGTTTTATGCTTACACCTCTCTCTCTCTCTATCTCTCTCTCT